AAATTTAATGATTTGAAACTGAATTTAAAGTTTTGTATTTGAATTAGTTTGCTTTAAAACTGTATTTTGATTTATTAAAATTTCAGTTTGACTACTTTCACTTTCAGTTCTAATAATTCATTTCAGTTCCAAAATTCAGATTTTTGTGTCACAAATCCTGGTCCTTGAGAAAACCAGGCAGAGTAATCAAACACAGATCCACAGATTTATGTTTCACTTTGGTGAAGTTTCCCTTCTGGATGTAACAGAGTTGATGCAATCCGTCTGTTTTTCCCCCCAAAAATCACAAACTCATCCACCTCCCTGACTGTCGTCAGGCAGCAGCCAGGTCACAATGTCCTCGTTTTCTGGCCACTTTAGCTGAAGTTCACATTTATCCATTTTGTCTCCACTCCTAGTTTTGTTCTAAACAATGCGTGTGATGCGTCCAGAGATCATCACCGACCGTCCAGAAACAAAGTGGTTCTGGATCTTCTCCAACCGGAGCACAAACTGGCCAGGGGATCGAATCAGTTCAGAGGATTTACTGAATCGATATTGAACTGCAAAAAAACTATTTGCAATGCATTCCAGAATTGATTATTTTACCACCCCTATGGAAAACAGTTCCAGAATTGCTTCTTTTTTTTACCCCCTTCAACTTCTTTTAAAATCAAATAAATGTAACAATTTTATTGTCAAAGTTTTCTGTTAACACGAGACATGCAGAGTATACAAAAATGTCTCAAGTTATTCTAATGAACATAAGGTGTGTTTGAGCAGTTCCTCTGAAACATGAGTATCTGGTGTTCCTCAAGGGAGGAGTTATTATTCTGTTAATGAACAATCTGAGCAGAAAACACCTACATTTTATTGTAGAAGACCTTTGACTCTCCCATGGCTGCAGAGGGGAGTAGATGCCGATCCAGTGCATCCAGAATATCACCACAGATAGACTTCAGTTCCTTCTCAACCTGCCAACAAACACAAAACAAACATTCAGTTACTCATTACTTTTTGATCATTTTCCAACAAAGTTCTCCCTTAAATATAAACTACACCTCCGCAAGGCTGCTAACAGGAGGAGAGAACATAAATATGAGGATTATCCAATCATCAAAACTACCTTGTTCACATTCACAAAGAGCGATACTGCAGATCATTCCTCCCATCAGCTGTTAGACTCTGTAACCATCACTGCTCCCATAAATTATGATAGGCATCCATGTTTGTGTTTGCACATCAAACTCTACCTGTCAATCATTACATAAATAATAACCAGTGGCAATTGTACATAGCTTTTTCCTGTACTGAACTTAATGACTGAGTTCAACTCAATTTGCAATAGGGGTGTAAGTAAATATCGATACACTGAAATATCGCAATATTTCATTTCCCAGTACTGTATCGATATTCTAAAGCCCTGTATCGATTTTTTTTTATTAAGGTTTAAAATGTCAACTTTCCTGCCAGCCGTTCATTTTTATGTTGTAGTTCAGCCTCTGACCACTAGTTCGCAGCAGTGAGCCAGCCATTTGGCTCCTCTACCTCTTGAGCGCCAGTGAGTAAGGGTAGCATTAGCATTGTAAGTAAACATTAGCTTCATGCTCAGATAGCTGAATCTGAGCAGAAAAGACCGACACACTCTGCCTTCTAAGCTGAGGTAAGGTTACAAACAGTTACTTATTAGTCAGAACGTCTGTATTTTAAGCCAGATTAAGTGTCTTGTGCGCTCTTTTTTCCAACGTTACGGAAGGCAGGCAGGCAGGCAGGCATATTTAGCGCATGCGTCTAGTGTCTCGAGCTCGGCACTCCCCCCGTGACAAAACTCTGTCTGTTGCTCTCAGTGTCCGGCTGATCGCATCAAAGTCCGTATACTTTAAGTTTATCCTGACGTGCTCGCTTCAAAAATGGTTTAACTGTGTTGTTTAGTTTCTCCATTTATTTACTGTTTATTTTCAGGACCTGCCCTGCTGTTCGACCCACAGTTATGTAAATTATGTTCTGGATGCAGGTAGTGCTGCAACAATTAATTGATTAATCGACGACTAATCGATTATTAAAATAATCGTTGACTAATTTAATAATCGATTAATCGTTTTCTTTTTGTTCTTTACTTTGTTTCTCTCTCCAAACTGCTTTGACACCTTCCACTGCCACGTCTGCCTTTCTGTCCTTGACACACATGCACAGTAGTGGTAACTGGGGTAGGCTGTGGACGTCACAAGACATTATACAGACAGGCTCTGGTATCATGGCTACCTGATAACAGAGCTCAAAGTGTGGGATCATTTTAAGAAAATGAAAGAGAAACCTGTGTATATCTGCAGAGCAGAACTTACCTTCCACAGCAATTATTTTTAGTTAGCATATAGCTAAAATCTAACCATGGTTATATAATAGCAGCTGCATTCTGACGTGATAAGCTCTATGTTTTATATTCAATTAACTATGATCTGATTAGTCGACGAATCGAAAAAATAATCGGTGATTAATCAATTATAAGAATAATCGTTTGTGGCAGCCCTAGACGCAGGTCAGCTGATCCCAGATCCTCTGTGTGTGAAGGCTGATTCTATTCTATTCAAATTCAATTCAAAAAATGTATTCATTTCATTAAAAAAATAACTACATACAATAGAAAACAAAGAAAATACACAAATCAAACATCAAAATCAAATGAAACGTAGCAGAAGAAGAATAAATCTTGCATCTGCCCCTTTTATCCCCAGATAAAATATCGTATTTGATGGATGGTTGTAATCTTTTCTAGTGATAATTCTTACGGCTCTTTTCTGTAAAACAAAAATTGGATTTGTAATTGTTTTTGTAACACTGACTTATGTAGCAGTCTATAGATTTAAGTGGACAATTTCCCACTAGGGATGGGAGGTAAAGTCAAATTTTAGAGGCATCATGGTCAATGTAGATTCTGAAATCATCATCAAACGTTTTTGCTAACATCAATTTGTGCTTTCACTTTAAGAGAACCAGCAGAGCAGCTGGTGGGTGGAGCTGTCTGTCCTAGACCTGCCATAGCTTCCTGTAGTGGAAACATGTTAAGTAAAGCTATTTTCTTTGTTAGAAATGACACTCAAAACATTTAATTAGTGCATATATTTTCAGTGAATAACAATACTAACCTTAACACATTTTCAATGCTAAGTTATCATCTGCCATGTATTTGCCATTAGGGAACATTCTTTATTCAGACTGAAAATATAGAAAATCTGTGTTCATGTATAAAAGCCATAGTCAAACTTTCCAGATAAATTTAATGCATTAGTTGTTTTATTTATCACATCAAAGCCTTTTGATTCAAATCGAATTGTGTCTAAAAAGATTCCCACCCTTTATACCCTCTACTATCCACCTCTTAAAACTTCATGTTAAGAACATACTAATACTTTGTCTTGTAGCTTAACTACTTAATTTATAGACATGTTCTTGCCAAATGTTGATGCTAACGCTGTAGTGGTGATACAGGAAATGCATCACCATGAGAAGCAAGACAGCAGCTCAGTAAAATCAAGGTAGATTCATGTCTGCATGCCATTAAATCACTGACTGCAGTCCAGCTGCCTCGCCCAGCTCTGACACACTCTGGCCTCTCCCAGAATAATAGCAGCTCTCATTCTGCTTTATCAAAGCATGGGAAAGTGCAGGCAGGACTTGCCAGCTATGACTCAGATGCAGTCTGTCTCGTAGCTGCTCAAAGATTGCATCATTCACAGGAGACCATCGACTCACGTTAAAGCAACACTGAGATGCTCTGGCACGAGCTCTGTGAAAACAAGGTGCCGTGAAAGCACAGGAGACAGGTTCCTTCCTGGTGTTTGTTGAGATAGTTACCGTTTGCCTGTATTCTCGGATCATCTTCAGTTTCTCCTCCCCACCCTTGCTTTCTTCTCTCTGTTCAATACTGCTGATTATCCTCCAGGAGGCTCTCCGAGCCCCGATCACATTCTTATAGGCCACGGATAGTAGGTTCCTCTCCTCCACTGTGAGCTCCACGTCCATGCCTGCCACCTTCTTCATGGACTCCACCATCTCTGTCGAGAAGAGAGTGAACGAGATTAAAAAAAATAACTTTTGAGCACCTCAATTTTTGCTGTACTTTTGAGCAATCATTTCTAGGGTTGGGCAAAATCACATCATGTGCAATAAGTCGTCAGAAAAACTTTAACTGGTTATTTTTTGGCACTTGACGGTTAATATGGTTAATGCCGTCAGGTAGACTGACTGAGATTTCCTGGTCAGTCCACTCGATGCTTCTCTCTGCTTCATATGATGAGCATTTTAAAAAAAAATTCCAATTTATTTATCATACCTCCGGTTTGATTTGGTCTACCAACACAAAAACCTGAAGTTTTAACATTTGACACAATTTGGAACAGATTTTTACAGAAAGCAAATCTTTCCCACTAAATTGGTCATGTGACCAGGACATGCGGGGGTCCAGGGACTCCAGGGGATTAATCATCGTATTAGGGCTGCCATGATTAGTCGAGTAGTCATGATTTTTGTCGACTAATTTAATAGTAGATGCATGTTTTTTCTTTCTAACTTTGTTTTCCTCTCCAAACTGCTGCGTCTGCCTTTCTGTCCTTGACACACATGTGCAGTAGTGGTAATTAGGGCTGCCACAAATTATTATTTTTATAGTTGACTAATTGATTAGTTGACTATAAAAAAATACAAAGTTAGAAAAAAAAAGACGCATCAACTATTAAATTAGTCGTTGAGGATTTAAATAGTTGACTAATCGTGGCAGCTCTACATCATATTAATCGTTATTGGCTAAAAACTAGGGATGCATGATTATATTGGCATTAATATCCGTATCGGCCGATATTGGTCATTTTTTAGAATATCGTATCGGTCCAATATGTAAAACTGGGCCAATACTAATGTCCGTTATTGATTTCCCACTTTTTATCTTTGTGTTTCTGTTTTGAGAGGTGAGACGGTTGGTTAAGTGGCATCTGTTTGATCATGACAGTGATATTTACGCTGCGCAGCCAGGAATAAGTGAAGTAGAGCCATGTCAGAGGTCTGGTCCTTTATTTACAGTAGGGCTGCCACGATTAATCGATTAATCGACGACTAATCTATTATTAAAATAATCTATGACTAGTTTAATAAATCGATTAATCGTTTTTTGTTTGTTTGTTGTTTTTTTTTTTTTGTTCTTTACTTAGTTTTTCTCTCCAAACTGCTTTGACACCTTCCACTGCCA